GAAACTCCAGAAGAATTGCAGACCAGTTTGTGGACCGCGCAAATTCAGGTGAAGCTTCTCGCGGAATGCGGTTCCATCTGGGGATTTCAACCACGTGCAAAACCCGGATCTGAGCCTACAGCCAACTTCCTCCACCACTAGCCCAGCTGATAGGCCCGCAACGTCGTCAGTCTGGTCCGGCTTATTGGAGCATGAGCGTGTTTGTTCCAGGTAGGGTATGAGTATGGTGGTGTCATGAGGACTCATTTGCGATATCAATGAGCCAGGTAATCCTTTCTGTAAGAGTCAGCAATTGGCCCATCACGCGAGAAGGAAGTCATACTAGGATTCTTAATGGTAAAATATGAAGGTATCCCAGGTCTTCGACGCCTGGGAGATCGTATGAAGCCTCGATAGCCGCAGTAGCAACGTCTATTCCGCCAATGTGTAGATGTTCTTGGATGGTCCCGCATAGCAGCAAGTTCACGGAATAAGGAACGGCTGAGTCGAAATGGGTGAACGATGCCTGTCCCAAGTTGGCGCCGCCCACAGACTCCAGAATGATATGGAGAAGGGAGCAACAATGAAGCTCGCTGAAGTCCTCGCATGATGGAGCAAGAGCTCTGTTCTGAAGCGACAGATAGACATTCTCTTCAAGAATTGGTATAGCGATCATGCTACTATCGAGCAGCTCCCTGCATATAGCGAGGACTCCATAGAAGCGGCAGCGGGCCTCAAGTGAGGATCTCTGCTCACAGTCAGGATCAGCCGGCTCAAAAGAGTGTGCTTTCGGCCTTAGTGTTCTCACCCAGAGACGGTATGCCAGCATTGCCCACTTCATTGGCGTAGCTAAGCATTGTGAACGTCTTTCAAGAAACGATGTAAGCGCGGGAACCTGTTCGGTGGCAACACTCTTGAAAACCCCGCGGATAAAACGAGCTCGCGCCAGCATCACTGCTCTGTCATGACCCAGCTCTAGAACGTCGGCAGGATGAGGTACGAAAAGCTCGTATTGCAAATTCATCTCAAAATGGACTTTTTTGAGGTGGAAAAATTGGAGCAGTTCCGGCGGGGCAGCGACCTCCCAGTATTTGCGGTCGGCCGTAGGGCCAATGACAAAGAACTGTTCATGGGCGAGTGCAGAAATGAGATCTTGAGCAGAGTTGAAATATAATTGAGGCACGTAAATAG